CACACACACACACACACACACACACAAAGAAAAACAAGTAGATAGAATAGACAAAAAAATAGAAACTAGTGTTAGTTACAGAACAGTTAATGAAAAAGTCTGTGAAAGTGATTTTGTGCCTCTTTGAGATGGCACAATAATGCGTCGTTCACTTGCAGAACGCAAGCTTCTAGAGGGCACATAACTCTGAAGTAATGAATTTAGGTAAATGGGTGCAGAGCCAGTGGTGGTTTTGTAGGCAAACATTAATGCCTTGAATTTAATGCGAGCAGCTACTGGTAGCCAGTGCAAATTGATGAACAGAGGTGTGACATGCATTCTTTTCGGCTCATTAAAGATTAATCTTGCAGTGGCATTTTGGATTAATTGTAGAGGTTTGATAGAAGTGGCTGGAAGACCTGCCAAGAGAGCATTGCAATAGTCCAGCCTGGATAGAACAAGAGCTTGAACAAGGAGTTGTGTTGCATGTTCTGAAAGAAAGGGCCTGATTTTCCTAATGTTGTATAAAGAAAATAAAATGATAAAATAATCATCATCATGTAACTGTCAGTGATTGATCTGCATGCTGATTCACCTGTCCGTGTCTCCATTTCCTCCTTGAATGAATGTGGGCATCACAGCGATGAACAGGCCAAGCTGCACATCCTGCATGACAAGCATGCCCAGCAAAACACTGCTGTAGTCCAGCTCACCTGTGTGAACACACACACAATCATAAACACAGACAGATCCCTCTGATCTCCAGCTGAACGTCACTAACATGGTTACCGGCTATGATCTCACCCTCTTTTGATTCTCCTCTGGATCCTCCAGCCAGGAAGCGAGACACCAGCGGAGTGCTGGAGAGAGATAGACAGCTGGAGATGAAGACAGTCTGTGTGGGATGAAGGCTGAGCAACTGACCCCAGACCAGTCCAGCGGCCACCATCAGCATACTCAGATATACAGAGCCCTGCAGCGAGATCTTCCACACCTGAACAACAACAACCATCACACAACAACCATTTGCTGTCCACTGGATCAGTTCACATCACATGCCACACATCTCCTTCACAATTATACGACATTCAGATAGAGCGCAAGGAGTGTAAATGAATCTGACCATCAGCTCATGAAAGAAAAAACAAACAAACACAATGATTCTGCAATTACACCACATTCCACACATTATCTATCTATCTATCTATCTATCATTAATCTTATACGGACAAAAGTGTTGGAACTTATTTTTTTAATTCAGGTGTTTCAATCCAACCCATTGCCACAGGTGTATAAACGCAAGCACCTCGCCATGCAGTCTGCATTAACAAACATTTGTGGGAAAAAAATGGATTGTTCTGAAGAGTTCAGTGAATTCAAGCATGGACCGTGTTAGGATAATGCATCAAGTCAGTTAGTGTAATTCTTGGGTGTTAAACATACGGCCCACAAAGGCATCCCATCTGGCCCGCGGGATGATTTGAACAATTATCTAAAATAATAAATAAAAACATTATTTTGAAAATTAAAGTGTATTCGCTACAATGTTTTATTTTTAATTTAAAGTGGAACAAACTGCTCATTTATTTGCATTAATGTTACACCTCTGTACACCTAACACATATATGCGGCAGAATCTCGAGCAGCACGTAATTGATGATAGCTGCTCTGCAACTGATGCTTGTGTGGCAAGTTACATGTGATTTTAAACATGTCCAAAATAATAAATTTGACCTGAAAGGTTGGAAATTTCAGGAGAAATGGAAAGAAAGGTATTTGTTCCGTGAGATCAACACCTGTATGTTTAATCACAACCCGTGGCTGTGGTAAAAGTGTGCAATATTAAATGACACTCTGAGACGCACTGGACAGTTTAGCATGTAAAAAGTAAATGAGCTAGGGGTGTGCGATATTTATCGTCTACTATAATATCGTAATTGTTGTTTTAACAATGTGCGAGCTGACATTATGTAACCCCCTTTTACAAAAATCAAACAAATACACGTTTTGTGAGATTTTTACTGTGGGATGAAGGCTATTAGAGTCCAGTTATGATATAATTCAAGATATGGAGGCAAAAAATGCTCTGTAAGAGTTCTTGTTTTTTTTATATATATATCTGTAATATCACAGGAGCAAGACTGTTGTTTTCCCAAACATCAGTATGAATGCAAAAGAAGTGATTTTATACAACAGTGCAACAAACAAGATGTTAGTATTAAGTGAGTTACATTTTAGTCACAATGTTGTCTGTTTTTGCTCTGTTTCGCCAACAAAAATAGTTTTTAGCAAAGCGGGAGCAGAACAATTCCAATCAACACAGTGTGTTTTGTTACTGAATGAATCTTGTGTTTTTGAACAAATCATTTGAATCAATGATTCAGCGGCCCATTCATAAAGACAGTCACTGGCTGCGTTCCACTCCACTTTTAGACACGCACTCGCAAACTTCCCTAAGCACTTCCCCTCGGGTGAATCCCTGCTGCCATTTTGAAGTGCGTTCCACTTCGTGAAGTGGATGGGGTAAGTTTATATGGACAAACTCGATTTTGACAGAGGGAGCGATTCATATGCACACTTCAGGCCGCAATATAGACCACAATGCAACACGAATATGACGTCATCGCAGATCGCGTTTAATTTATCCCCACCCCAAACAACTCTATATAATATATTAAATTTTTTTTTTTACATTTGTAACAGCCCAAGCATACCTATATACATATAGAATGCTACACCAAACAAACTCGTAAGGGGAAAAATGTAAACAACCAACTCCATAGCGTGATCAAGGGCTTATGATGTTCCAATTCAGCCCATTCCAAGGGTTCCGCCAGTAGTGGCCACTCATGCAACGTAATCAATGACGTACATCCGAGTAAACGAGACGGAGGGAAGTTAGCGAGTGAAGGGCATAAAAAAATGGACTGGAACGCAGCCACTATCTTTGTTTCTAAATGATTCAGCTGTTTTGAATGAATCTTTTGAATGAATCTGTCAATGAATCACTCATCAAGATGGGGACTTGCCGCCAAACAACTGGCCATTTAGTTTATATTTATTTATCCATGACAAGCTTAAACCAACCAAGGTACTATCTCAAAAACACTAGTCAAAATATGGTCTAATTATCATTATTAAAAAAATCCCCAAAAAATAGATATTTTGAGAATTGAGAATTTTTTGTCAGTATCGCACACCCCTAAAACAACCTGGCTTTTCACTGGCTTTAATATGAGCACAAAAACTGTGTGGCTGGAATGGGTTTCCATGGCTGAGATGCTGCATGAAGCCTCACATCACCAAGTACAATGCCAAGTGAGGGATAGGCTTGCCGCGATAGACGGTGTTGACGGTGATACCGCTGTTAAGCCGCAACACCGGTTACGTCACTTGCCCACCGCTGTACGATCGCGGATGATTTTGTTTCGAAACTAGATGCAAAAGCGCCTGTTTGGCAATATTTTGGATTTTGAAAAGCCTGTTGACTTTTGCCGTTTATCTAAGGTGATTTTGGAAGGTTTTTTCTTATTTAATTGGTTCCACATTATTTGCTGATTTTTACTTTATTTAAACTTTGTGTCATTTATTTATTTACATCAAGGTGTATGCCGTGCCTCCAAGCTTACTCGTTTTGCTAATAAATGTCCTACGTTTCTTATTTATTTGGTTATATATTATACATGTTTACTTAGCCTATTTCCAGTTTTGTATACCTATTTAAACTTTATGTAAGTTATTTGTTATTTTATATTAGGCATTGCCTGCCCTATAGCATGGTGTATTTTTATTTGTTTTGTTTGTGCACGCCGCTTTAACAAGCTATTTAAAAGCGAAGGAAAGCGAGGAAAAGAGGGGAACCCCCCCCTCGGTGATACCGGTATTACCGGTGTTGTCACACGTCGATTAACCGGTGGGAAAATTTCCTCACCGTCACAACCCTAGTGAGGGATTGAGTGGAGTGAAGCATGCCAACACTATATATAACACTCTGTATATAAGGAGGGACAGTGTGAAAGTGAGACATAGGGCGCTTTTCCACTGCGTGGTACGACTCGGCTCGGTACGGCTCAGTAC